GCCAACCAAAGTGCTGTACAGCAGAAACAAACAAGCAAAGGACACAGGATAAAAGAATTATAAGAATTATAAACATAGATCCAAATAGATAAATATAAGAACTAAATGGCTAATTTTATAGAATACAAACAAGTTAAAATCAACTCACACACTGTCAAAAGCCAGGGAATAAAAATGAGTTTTAAATCGAGACTTGAAGTCAGTGAGAGTGGGGGCCTGTCTGACATGCAGTGGTAAGTTATTCCACAGTTTGGACCTGCAACAGAGAAAGACCTGTTATCTCTGAGATTAAAATGAGTACCTGAAACCAATAAGAGAGCTCTGTGGGATATGGCTGCAGCAGATCAGCGAGATAGGACACATGTAGCAAAACCCCGGGACTCAGAAGGTTGAAGTGAGCCTTGATGTCTGAATTTGACGTTTTTGTTTAAATCACAGATCTTCGAAACAACTCGTTGGTCAGTCGGATGTCTGATGGGACGTTAGCCGCTAACAGTACTTTGGAGCCAACGGGCTGCCCTTACGAACAGACCTGGTGTCAGTATACGCCCGCCATCTACCTCGCTCAGTACATCTCATCCGACATCCTCATCGGAGTGGGTTACCCAGCATGCAATGTGATGTCCTACACGCTGTATTCCAAAATTCTTGGACCAAAGCCTCAGGTTAGAGAAACTAAACACCTTTTTCATCGCGCATAAACGACCGGGCTGCTTTCAGTGTGTCGATCTCTTCAGGGCGTGTACATGGGCTGGTTGACGACCTCGGGGAGCGGCGCGAGGACGCTGGGCCCCATCTTTGTGTCTCACGTCTACACCCTCCTGGGACCTCGCTGGGCCTTCAGCCTCATCTGTGGGATGGTGGTGGGAGCCATCGTCCTCCTCAGCTCCACCTATCATCGACTCATCGCCTTCTCCATTCGCCACGGGCGGATCGTGACGTAGCAGCGCTTCTCACGAACGCCGGATTATTTAAGCAAACCTCTGCTGAGCTTACTTTGAACTCATAAATGATGTTTAGAGCTTTTAGAGTTTTAACTCTTAAACTCGAGAACAGAGGGAGTTTCCAAGTCACATGTTCATGAAAACATCTTTGGGTGTTGAGATATTGATTATGCAAAAAAAAAATTGTGCCTATTGGGGTACAGATGTTATAACTTTTTATTAATAATGTACTATAATTATATTTTTATTTCTTTTAAAGGCCTGAACTTGTAGTTTTAAACTATGGGTTTGATTATTCTTAAATTATTGAGTAATTTCTGAGTGCTTTATTGTAAAAATGACCAGGGTTATGCATAAAATTTTTAATATGACCTCCTGTTTTTTCCTGTTGTATTTTATTTTTATTGCACAGTGTTTTGTTTTGTGGAAACGGTTCACAAAGTGGTTTTTTTTTTTTTTGTGGGGGAGGCTGTTTAATTGGATTTTATGGCATGTGTTTAGCTTCATTTTATCAATCCTTCTATAACTAAAAGAAGTTAACAACTTAGATAAATCACTCTTTTGTGTGAATATCTAGTGTGAACGCTAAATGACTTTAAACTGAGTAATTGAAGATAAAAGAAGCAGAACATTCGCTAAAAATGAGCTAAAGAATAGCCAAAAGCTAAAAGTATTAGAACAGTAACTAAAAGTAGTAAAATGGTATAAAGTCCCCTAGTAGAAATTTGTTTTTAGTAATCCACAAACTCTTTGGGTTTATTATCCATCCATCCATTATCTTTACCCGCTTATTCCATTTTGGGTCACGGGGGTCGCTGATGCCCATGTCCAGCAATCACTGTGCGAGGGGCGGGGTACATCCTGGACGGGGTCGCAAGTCCATCACAGAGACACATAGAGACAAACGAGACAAACAACGATTCACTCTCTCACTCACACCTAGGGACAATTTAGAGTTACCAATCAGCCTAACATGCATGTTTTTGGTCTGTGGGAGGAAACCGGAGTACCCGGAGAAAACCCACGCATGCACGGAGAGAACATGCAAACTCCACCCAGAAGGCCCCTGGACCGGGGTTTGAACCAAGGACCTGCTCGCTGAGAGGCAGCAGCTCTACCAGTTGCGCCACCGTGCTGCCCTTTGGGTTTATTAATGATTCAAAAATACATTTTACCGTAAATTATCTTTTTGATACGTTGGTGAAGATACTCAGTCATCCATGGTAAATCCAAAAAAAGTTAAAAACAAAACAACTGGACTTTATTTGTAACTGAAGACGTTTCGCTTCTCATCCGAGGAACTTTCTCAATTCAAAGAAACAATGAGTGTGGGATTCAAGTCTTAAAGCTGTGGTGTTCTGTAAGCTTGTATAATGGAGATTGACACATGCAGATTGACCTCTCACTCTTAGAGGATCGTTCGGGTTGGCGTTAGTCTCATCCACCGAGGGGCCACTCTGGTCACATGGTATATCTTTTTGATAAAAATGTATTTCATAAGGTAGAGTATTTTGCAGTAAGCCAAATCTACAACTTTAGCTGAAACTGGGCCTGAAAACGACCAAAACTTTTCAGACTGATGCACTACTTTTAAAATACTTGATCTACGGTATTCAAGTTTGACCACCAGAACCTCAAACATTTCTTCTGTCCTAATTGTAAGTACTGTTGTTTAAAAACGTTCATGGTTCATAAATGCCTCCATGACATCTCTAAATAGTTAAAACATATTTCATACTGTGTAAATTTAAGTAAAAAAAATCTCTTCTTTTATTTTAATGGAGAAGAAAATGTGATCCGTTCACTTTAAGATGATGTCACACTCAGTGATGAAAATCTCGCGTGAACTTGGCATAATCTCGCGAGAGCTTGTTTGAACGCGAGAGAGATTTAAAGTGTAAAAGAGGGAACGTGCGCAATTGCGCATGCTGTGAAAGCTAAGCTAAATGAGGTTTATAGTAGAAATGATGTTAACGTGACTTCTAAAGACTGAAGAACCTCTTTTCACAAGCAGCCAACGAGGTATTTATCTTGTTTATGTCTTATTTGTTAATTTTTATTTGCCTCATAAAATCCTGTACAATTCAATTCAGTTTATTTATATATAGTGCCAAGTCACAACAGAAGTCATCTCAGAGCACTGAACAGAAACATTCATATATAAAAGCAAGTTAACACTATTTGAGCAGCAGTCTGCTTTGAGTTTAACTTCATTGCAAAAACTTTCATATTGAGCAAGCATGAAGGCGACAGTGGAAAGGAAAAACTCCCTAATGAGGAAGAAACCTTTAGCAGAACCAGGCTCAGGACAAGCGGTCATCTGCTTTGACCGGCTGCGTTTGAGAGGAAGAAGGAGGAACAGATACACAATGGCAGGTCGAGAATCACATGTTAAGATAGAAATAGTATCAAATGAAAACCAATCAATTTTAACAATTCATTTTAGGAAATGAGGTCAATTTGTCCTAGGTAGTCTAAGCCTATAGCAGCATAACAAGCCAACCCTAACTATAGGATTTATCAAAATGAAAGTCTTAAGCCCAGTCTTAAAACTGGACAATGTGTCAGCCTCACGGACAGAAACTGGAAGTTGGTTCCACAAGAGAGGAGCCTGATAAATGAAAGATCTTCCTTAATTCCCTAGGAACCGCAAGTAAACCTGTGGTCTGAGAGCAAAGTGCTCTGTTAGGAAACTATGGAACGACCTCTAATATAAGATGAAGCTAGGTTGTTGAGAGCTTTGTAGATTACAAGTAAGATTTTGAATAAAATTTTGGACTTGACAGGGAGCCAATGGAGAGAAGCTAAAACTGGAGAGATATGATCTCTCCTACTAACTCCAGTTAAGACTGGCAGCAGCATTTTGGATCAACTGAAGACCTTTTAAAGAAGTATTTGGACACCCAGATAATAAACCATTGCAATAGTCCAGTCTAGACATGACAAATGCATGAACCAGTTTTTCTGCATCACTTTTAGATGTTTCTAATTTTAGCGAAATTACGCAGGTGGAAGAACGTTCTAGTAACTTTTTAATGTGGGGGATAAAAGACATGTCCGGATCAAAAATAACACCAAGATTTTTAATATTAGAGCTGGAGGCCAGATTAATTCCATCCAAGGAGGGTGGAAGACTGAAAAATGAATTCCTAAAATGCTCAGGTCCAAAAACTAAAATCTGTCTTGTCTGTAGTCACAATCAGAAAATTAAGTGTCATCCAGGTTTTTATGTTTTTAAGACATGCTTGTAGTCTAAGTAACTGGTTGGATTCATTGGGTTTCATGGACAAATGTAACTGTGTATCATCAGCATAACAATGAAAATGTATTCCATTCTGTTTAATAACTCTAATGAAAGCATATATAAAGTAAAGAGTATTGGTCCAAGCACTGAACCTTGAGGAACTCCATGACTAATTTTTTAGTTCAGTGATATACCTTTGTATTTATTTATTTTATTTTACTTTATCAGCCCTTAAGGCGTTTAGAGTCTGGCTTTAATGTGTTAAGAAGTTAGTGTGGAGATAGGACAGTGAAGGTGGACAAAATGTCGTACTGAAGCTTCATAAAGACATGCCTGCAATAAATGCCCGTTGCAACAATCGCCTTGTGTCTGTGATGTTGTGAAGAGAGCTTCAGTAACATTTGAACACATAAATACATGAACAGTTTAGTTTAATGATGTCACAATCCAACATAAAATGCTTATTTGTTGTTTTTTTATATACAAACCGGATTCCAAAAAAGTTGGGACACTAAACAAATTGTGAATAAAAACTGAATGCAATGATGTGGAGATGGCAAATGTCAATATTTTATTCGTAATATAACATAGATGACAGATCAAAAGTTTAATCTGAGTAAATGTAACATTTTAAAGGAAAAAATATGTTGATTCAAAATTTCACAGTGTCAACAAATCCCAAAAAAGTTGGGACAAGTAGAAATAAGTGGCTGGAAAAAGGAAATTGAGCATATAACGAACAGCTGGAAGACCAATTAACACTAATTAGGTTAATTGACAACATGATTGGGTATAAAAAGAGCTCCTCAGTGTGTCAGTGTAAGTAAGAGGATCACCAATTCCACCATTGTTGCGCAGAAAGATAGTGCAGCAATACCAGAATGGTGTTACCCAGCGTAAAATAGAAAAGACTTTTAAGTTATCATCATCAACCGTGCATAGCATCATCAAAAGATTCAGAGAATCTGGAACAATCGCTGTGCGTAAGGGTCAAGGCCGTAAAACTCTACTGGATGCTCGTGATCTCCGGGCCCTTAAACGTCACTGCACCTCAAACAGGAATGCCACTGTCAAGGAAATAACAGAATGGGCTCAGGAATACTTCCAGAAAGCATCGTCAGTGAACACAATCCACCGTGCCATCTGTCGTTGCCAGCTGAAACTCTACAGTGCAAAGAGGAAGCCATTTCTAAGCAAGCTCCACAAGCTCAGACGTTTGCACTGGGCCAGGGGTCATTTAAAATGGAGTGTGGCAAAATGGAAGACTGTTCTGTGGTCAGATGAGTCACGATTTGAAGTTCTTTATGGAACACTGGGACGCCATGTCATCCGGACCAGAGAGAACAAGGATAGCCCAAGTTGTTATCAACGCTCCGTTCAGAAGCCTGCATCACTGATGGTATGGGGTTGCATGAGCGCTTGTGGCATGGGCAGCTTGCATGTCTGGAAAGGCACCATTAATGCAGAGAACTATGTTCAGGTTCTAGAACAACATATGCTCCCATCTAGACGTCATCTCTTTCAGGGAAGACCCTGCATTTTTCAACACGATAATGCCAGACCACATTCTGCAGCAATCACAACATCATGGCTACGTAGGAGAAGGATCCGGGTACTGAAATGGCCAGCCTGCAGTCCAGATCTTTCACCTATAGAGAACATTTGGCGCATCATAAAGAGGAAGGTGCAACAAAGAAGGCCCAAGACGATTGAACAGTTAGAGGCCTGTATTAGACATGAATGGGAGAGCATTCCTATTTCTAAACTTGAGAAACTGGTCTCCTCTGTCCCCAGACGTCTGTTGAGTGTTGTAAGAAGAAGGGGGGATGCCACACAGTGGTAAAAATGGACTTGTCCCAACTTCTTTGGGATTTGTTGACGCCATGAAATTTGGAAACAACAGATGTTTCCCTTAAAATGATACATTCTCTCAGTTTAAACTTTTGATCTGTGATTCGTGTTCTATTCTGAATAAAATATTAGATGTTGGCACCTCCACATCATTGCATTCAGTTTTTATTCACAATTTGTTTAGTGTCCCAACTTTTTTGGAATCCGGTTTGTAAAACAAACTATAAATTTAATCATATAAAAAAGTTTCAAGAGTCAAGTAGATTATTGAGCATGGACTTTGTTAAGAGTCAAGTAGGTTTTACAACTGTAGTCAAATGTTTTAGTAAGAATTTAACTTTATCAGTTGTCTTCTTAGATAAATAATATTAATAACTGACTTTATATGTATATGACTGTTTTTGTTCAGTGCCCTGAAATGACTTCTGTTGGCGCTGTATAAATAAACTGAATTTAATTTAATTACTGGTAGCTTTCCATCATTACCTGTTGTTAGACTCAACCACTGTGAAAAATCACATCATGTTGCTGCTGATCTATTTCATGTTGCTGTGTTCATTTGTACTCATCTGCTCACACAGACTCATGCTCGTGCTGCTGTTTGACATATTATTTTTATGCTATTAGTGCTTAGTGTAATTTTTATTAACGTTCGTCTTAGTGTTGTTTTTCTTTTACATTTTAATACTTTTGTTGGATGTAACTGGGACCCTGTGTACACAGTTTCGTTCCACCACATGTGATGATGGAATGACAAAGAACCTTGAATCCTTGTTATAAAAATGACCTGCAGGGGGCGACTATAGGTATTCGTTTATGTCACAGTGCGCATGCGCCGGTCTCCTACTCCCGCCCCCGCTGTGTGTTCCCGCTGCGGAAACGCGGAGAGGAAAACGCAGCTGAGCTGCTAAAATTAGATTTAGTAATGTAACTTCAGGCGGTGTTTAGTAAAATTGAGGAGTATAAGACGTCGCGGCCGGACGCGCCTTACTGAAACATGCAGGTATTTACAGATGAATCCGGTAAGAAATGTTTATTCGAGCTCGTTTAGCTAATAGGCTAAGTTTGCTCTACTTAAAAATTGTTTACGGCTCAGTTCAGTCTAAACGAGCCGATTTTAAAACGTCTGTGTCCTGTCTTGTTTTTCAGAGTTTACGGATGTTCAAATGATCGTAAGTAATTGTTTCTGCTGAGGTTGAAGTTGATAAAAGTCGGGATGAGGTGGGAACGGCCTTCAGAAGCAGCTGCTTTGACCTGAAGTCACAACAAAACAGCTCTTAGTCTAAAGCAACTTCATGTAAAGCAGACTTGCATTTATAAATTCAAATGACTTAAATCAGTCAATCCACGTGGTAATTTTAAGGTTTAGTTTTTATAAATTCCACATGTCTGCTCTTAGTTTACATACTGAGATTAGACAAGTGTTTGAACTTTGACTACTTTTCATTAAAACCACTGCACTCTCTTCCCAGCTGCATTTATCTTTGCCCAAGAGGAAGTAAAGACAGTTGTGTGTATTTGCTCATTCTGTATTTAAAACATGCTTTAAATATTTAATCAAATCCACACTTCTCTAACTGGACGTCCACAAATAAACAGTTTATTTCAAATGTGCTGCAAAAACTCAAGCAAAACCATTTTTATAAAAACTATTCATGCTTTTAATTTGTTTTGTAAGTGATCAAAAATCCCTCCAAACTAGTAATTCAGCGGCTACACCTTTTTAATCTATAGATGTATTTAGTCCTAAATGATGAAGCTCCACTTCACGTAATGGTTTTTATAATTCTATTATTAAATTTTGCTTCCAAATTATATTTAATAGCTGTTAATCCCAGATGTAGTGCCAGTTACATAAACTTCCTGTCTAACTAGATTGATTTTTGGCATTAATGTTTGTTTACTTGTTTCCCAGATCTGATTAAAGAAAGAGTTGTAATGAAAACATTTTTCTCTGGGCAACAGTTAACACTGTTTTACTTTAAACTACGGTGAATTGCTTGATTGCCTGTGTTTATTATTTAACTGTGAAAAGTTAATTTTGCGCAATCTGAAAATCTGTTGCGTACAGCTGGATTTCATTCATTTAAAGTAAAATCAGAATAATTGGGGGCTGCCTAGTAAAGCAGCCACCTGTTATTATCCACCTGACAAAAGGTTTCTTAACTTTATATCTTACTCTTCCGTCAACTTTAATGCGGCTCAAACCGAAACGTGTACCCCCACAAATGTTGTATCAAAACGACCGGCTCGGCACCGTGATGTGTGCTGCTACTTTTATTGGTGTTTCGAATTACCATGGCGATGTAATTTGCTAACAAAGACGCCGTTTTTATTAGTCATTTTTCAAATATCCGAGATGGCCACTCGAGTTAACCTGAGTTAAAAAATAAAAAACACTTTAAATCAGCCATTTTTTTTTTTAGAGATATTAAGCTGAAATTTGTTGCGGTGTGCAACGCCCAATAAATAATGTTAAAATAATCAAGATGGCCACCAAAGCTACATTTAAAAGGCTTTAACTCGGCTATTTTTACACATGGAGCTGAAATTTGGCGAGGTTATAGCTGAGAAAGTTCCCTATCACTGAATGAATCCAAATCAAAGATGGCCGCCTTAGCTAAAAAGGAAAACATACAATAATTCAGCTGTTTCTAGAGCTATTTAGCTGCAACTTGGTGTAGTGGTAGCCGAGAGCGAACCCCAACACATAGTACTGTAAATCAACTATTTCAATCGGCGGCAGCCTGGCAGTCCCCGACAGTTTCTCCAGGAACTTTTAGTTGTTTTTTTAAATAAATCTTTATTAAAGCAAATGATAAGTATACACCAAACAAAAAAGAATGCAGTATACAGACGAACACAACACTTGTATGAATAAACAACCAGGGGTTGTGATTTTTAAACAAATATTTGCAAAGATTTACAGATAGAAATTGTCCTAAGAGCCTTTTGAGTTGGTAGAGTCTGTTATTAACTTTACATATAGTTCCACATCCTTAATAAAATGAAGAAATCAAGGTGTTTTGTTAGTAAATTTACATTTACGAATGAAAAATTTGGCCAAAAGAATTAGCAAGTTTTTATTATTAAAAAAATTTATGTAGCATCCTTTTTGGGGAATGTAGAAAAACAAAACAAAACATTTTCCCAACGTAAGGAAAATTTCCTTTAAAATATGCTTATTAATAAACCTGCTGAACTCCTTCTGAAACCTGCGCGTGAACGGGCAGTGCCAAAAAAGATGGAAGGTCGCCACAAAAACTACAATCGATATTTATGTCTCTCTTAAATGTTATCTTATAATGTTTAGCGGGGTAAATTTGCTGCTGTGAAAAGCAGGTTTTTCCTCACTGATGACTCAGTTGGACCAGGGAGAGTAAGGAACTTTTAGTTTTATCCCACTCCTCTGTAAAAATGAACTTGGTGAGGTGAGTTTTTCTCTGTAAAGGAAAGTGAAACTTTAAAGAGTGTTCCGTTTCTGTGACGTAATCTCTGCAGTCAGCTGCAGCTCGGAGGCTCCTTCCATCCAGAGCAGTTTCAGATAATGATCGTGTGGTTCCGCTGATCTTAACGACACAACACCTCTGGATTGCCTTTAACTCTTTTCTCTTTCCTGTTTAGCAAAGAGTTGTGGGTATGTTTGAGAGCCGCCGTTTTCATAGGATTCTGTCATATGGCCTTCTTGGTAAGAGAATACCCACTAAAGCAAATCTCATCCAGAATGATTTGATTTTAATTTCTGTGAAACGTCAGGATGAGTTGTGAGCTTCATACTTACGTGTGTGCATTCTGTTTTTAAATGAACACGCTTGTTCCTACCAGGTTTTGAGTACGATGAGGAGCAAGACGTGGACGATCGTGACAGCTGGTCCCACCAACGTAACAGTTTCTATGGATACCAAGATGGTAGAGGATTAAGTAGGAACCACTCCAGGTCGTCCAGCTCCATCTATCAACCTTCACTGAGTTATTCTTCAGCCCATAGCTCGCCCGGCTCGCCCTCTTTGAAAGTTCAGCCCAAGGAGAGCGTGCGTTCACCTTTTGTGTTGTAAAAGTTGCATAAAGTCGCGCTGACGCGAGGCGGGTTTGTGTTGACGTCTTTGTTGTTGCTGTTTTTAAAGGATATTGAGCGGAAAGCTAGATTATTACAAGAAGCTAAAAAGAGCAAAGAAAAAGCTGAGAAGAAGCGGCTGAAGAAACAGGTGACACTTTGTAAACGCCACGAGCTGCTGAAGAAATGATTAACGTTTGGGCTCATTTAGTTTATTTTTATTTTTTTTTATCCAACAGAAACAGAAGCAGAGAAAACAAATGGAGAAGGAAAAACTGAATAAAGAGGTGATGTGGGCCACTTTGTCACAGAGTTGCGATCTATAAAAGTGGGTTCTGTGGAGCGGGTATGAACATTTGTTATCTTACCTGTTGCAGATGGCTTCTTAAACAACTTCAGTTTGGACAAAGAGTTTAAATCTGATCGGAGTGGCTAGTCGTGTGCGGCAAACACCAATGTGGATTTAATTGATAAGATTTTGTTTCTGATAATTTTCATTGTGCGGACACGGTAGAGCTTTGACTCTTGGCGAGGAGGTTGCTGGATCAAATCCCGACTGGGCCTTTCTGCGTGAATTTCTTGCTTATTTGAAAGAAACAAACACAGATGCATGTATTTTTATGCTTAATTAACGGTGCATAACGACGTGTCAAAATCCCCATTGCTGTAATCACAGGTCGCTTTGCAACAATTGGCATGATTCTTACTTAACAGTAAATATGCCGTGCTAAGCTAACGTGGTTAGCCTTGTTTCTCACTGGTAATTTATTCACAAATCATTTAAGACTTCCATTACTTGGACATTATTCTTCAGGCTTCGGTGAAGAGAGAACACGGCTTGACTGCAACGTTTCTACTACGAGAAGCTACGGCAACTCTGCTTGGACAAATTGCTCCAGGCATCCACTAATCTGCTGACTCATGGTGGCAGCACGGATTAATGTTTACAAAATTAATTCAGAATTTTCCATGTCCGCAATGTGGTGCAACTAAAAGTGAGTTGGGCCTCCATCCCTTAGTTAGTAGGTATATGGAATTCTGTGTTTGCACATGTAAATAGTAGCAGCAGCTAGCGATGGCACTTCCTGTGCAACCTGGGTGCTTTTGGGATAGTAGTTTGAATGAACTGACGCTCAAATTTGAGGTTAGGGTGGTTCCACTTCAGTCTTGACGAGCTGTTAGTTTGTCAATCCGGTCAGAAACTCGTTCAACAAACAAGTCTTTTAAAGAGCCATCTACAACAGGTAAGATGTTCACGGTCTTCTCATGGAACTCCACTTCAAAGGACCTGAAGTTCGGGCTGACTTGCATAAAGAGTCAGACTGATAGAAACTTGTTTTTTCGTCTGCAGGGAAACGCTGCAGAAGAAGATAAATCTGTGAACGACCCAGAGAACAATGAACCCAACTCCAGTGAGAAGAACTCTGCTGCTGCTAAAGATACAGACAGCGACTGCAATTGCAGCGAGTACGAGTCCAGTTACGAAGAGGAGGACACCAAGAACGACTCTGGAGACGAAGAGGTACCCGTACTTCAACCAGTGGCTCCTACAAAAGATGTTTAAATTCCTGATGCATGCTTCCCCAAGTGTGAAGTCGCACATGCACACTACAAGTGGGGCTGCAGTCCAAAGTTTTTCTGCACTAACAACAGTAATAGTAAATGGCAGAGAGCAGAGTGTTTTTGTGCTGCTCACCCTTTTTCAGCTCCTACAGTGAGGCAAAAAAGTATTGTCAGCCACTGATTGGGCAAGTTCTCCTACTTAGAAAGATGAGAGGTCTGTAGCTTTCATCATAGGTACACTTCAACTATGAGAGACAAAATGAGGAAAATAATCCAGGAAATCACATTGTAAGATTTTAAAATGATTTATTTGTAAATTATGGTAGAAAATAAAGTATTTGGCTGATAACATAACGTTTGTTGGCAACGACAGAGGTCAAACGTTTCCTCTAAGTCTTCACCACTGTAGCTGGTCTTCTGGACCATTCCTCCACGCAGATCTCCTCTAGAGCAGTGATGTTTTGGGGCTGTCGCTGGGCCACACGGACTTTCAACTCCCTCCACAATTTTTCTTTGGGGTTGAGGTCTGGAGACTGGCTAGGCCACTCCAGTACCTTGAAATGCTTTTTACAGAGCCACTCCTTTGTTGCCCGAGCGCTGTGTTTGGATCATCGTCATCCTGGAAGACCCAGCCACGTTCTGTCTTCAATGCTCTCACTGGTGGAAGGAGGTTATGGCTTAAAATCTTATGATACATGGCCCCGTTCATTCTTCCCTTAAAACGGATCAGTCGTCCTGCCCCCTTTGCACAAAAACAACCCCAAAGCATGATGTTTCCACCCCCATGCTTTACAGTAGGTATGGTGTTCTTGGATGAAACTCTGCATTCTTCTTCCTCCAAACACAACAAGTTGAGTTTTTACCTAAAAGTTCCATTTTGGTTTAATCTGACCCGCAGTACTCCCGAAAAAATGTCATCCTCTAGTCTGGTGGTTCCAGGGCCTTTACCTTGTTGGGTTATTTAAAGTCTTTATTTTGTTAACGATGAAGGGAATAAAGTTTTTACAGTTTATAAAGTTGTGTAATTTGATCTGTCTGTGTCGTGGTTTGATTATTTCCTTCAGGGACTGGATCTGACAAGCACTTTTGTGAGCAAAGCTGCTCTTATAGCGAGGCGTAAATTAGAGCAGAAAGGGAAGAAGAGCCCTGAAAAGTCTAAAAGTGTCCTGGACCCAGAAGAGCTGGCTCTAAAGGAGGCTCAGAAGAAGGTGAGAACGTTCAGATGAGAAAACGATTCTGTATCTCTTTCTTGTCCGTCAGGTTCATAATCGTCATCTTTAGCCCTTGTTTTTAATTTACAGGATTCTGTCGCTCCCGCCAGCCTCTCTATTGAAGATAACGTAAAAATAAGCACTGATCTCGCAAGTACGTTTTTACACTTTAATCCTGTTTAAAATGAAGTTATCGGTGAGATTTAATTTTCTTTTCTGCTTCTAGTTATGGGAAATAAGTTCGCCAGTTCAGGAGACTATAGCATGGCTGTCAAGTATTTCACAGATGCAATTAAATACAACCCTAAAGAGTTTAAGTAAGAACCTGCCTCTTGTGTTTAAATGTACTAATCACGGGTTCCTCAGTCGCTGGGTCTGAACCGCTCGTGTCGTCCCCGCCACAGGTTGTTTGGCAATCGTTCCTTCTGCTTTGAAAAGCTGCAGGAATGCGAGAAGGCGCTGGCCGATGCAGAGCTTTCTTTGGGCATCTGTCCGGGCTGGATTAAAGGGCTGTTCAGGAAGGGCAGAGCTCTGGCGGGTCTAAAGGTGAGCTCTGCAACCACACAACAACTCTTTTATATTCAGGTTTTTTTTTTTGTATCTCCAGGATTCAGATTCTTTTAAGACGCCGGTGTTGTGACGTAACTCTTAAGAACCAAAGCAATAAAATATTTTTTGTGTGTATTTTACACAATTATTCCTAGTTTTTTCATGTCTGTATTGGATAGCCCCTTGATGATGTGATTTAGGCTGTTTGGTGCATTTTTTTTTTAGCACGTTTCACTGCATGTAAATTTCAAAATAAATTGCTTACAGATGTCTGCAGGAACAAAAACGATTCGGAGACAAATGGTGCGGTTATAAAATTATACGTTAAAGTAAGAAATGCAATCTGTTAAATCGTCTAGGAATGCAAACGCTGAAAGTAGAAAATAATAAAAAACGACAGAAGGTTACAGCTATGTACACTCGTAAACCAAAAAACATTGGCTCGTGAAAAGTTATTTTGAAGGGCAATCAACAGAAAATTTAGTGGATTTTATTTTTTACTGGAAGCTAAATTGTACAAATCTATTTTTGTTTTGGCTCCAAACAATAAAAAATAACTAATCAACGCAAACGATTATTGTTAAAATGATTTTGGCACATTTTGATTGCGAGTTCTGCCATCTGAAAGAAAACCAGATTTAGACAAACAGGATTTCGTAAGTCTTTGTTAATAAAGAGGAAATTTCTGTCTTTTTAAAGCGATCTACATTTAGGAAAATCTCATGTTTAATACAATTCATCAGTCTTTAGTTGCAATAAATGCAATGTTTCTAAACTGAGAAATAATGTTAAGTTATTTTATTTTATTTTATTTTATGATTGAGCAGCCCTTTTTATCTGAGGTTTAACTTTACCATGTGCTCAAATTCCACATTTATGTAAGAATTTTAGCTTTTTTAACGTTTTAACGTCTTGTTTGTGTAAACCAGCAACACAAACATGAACGACTGTCTTCTTTCTGCTTTTTATATTTATACGACCACTTAAGTTCTGAAAAATAAGATAACTCCCAACATTTTTAACTGTCTTGCTGTGTTTCAGAAAGTGTCACCAAGTATGAACACATTTTTCATTCTGTATTGGCTATCTCAGTTAAACTTTTAAAAGATTTCTCGATGTCCAGCTTAATAAAATGTAGTTTTAGCTTTCAGAACTGAGATCTTTAGAGGGGAAAACCTTGTATGACTATGTATATTTGATGTCTAAATTGTAGGATATTTTATAAATCTAACATCAGATGTGTGAATGAAAATATGTGTTCCAAGAACTGGTCCTTGTGGAACCCCAGAGTGAGAATTTCATTTAATTTTCAGATGTAGAATTCTTGAAGTAGTCACAGTGAAAACTAGTTAAGAACCGGATACATGCATGGCAAACACAGTGTTAAACCCTTTTCAACAATGTTTGTGAAGGTTTAAATATAATTCACTTGTGTTTGTCGTTCAGATCGTTCTGACTTTAATCCCGTTGGACTTGTGTCAACATCCCTTCATGTTCATGTTATCTACGGTGCTCAAATTGTGACTGGCGCTTGTTCCACGTCACGTTGACCTTTGTTGCGTTTGTCTTTCAGAGGTATGAAGAGGCAGCTGATGCCTTCAGGGACGTCCTGAAACGGGAGAGTTCGTATGCTGAAGCTGCTCAGGAGCTTATGCGAGTGCAGATAATACAATTAATGGTAATGTTAACATTCCTGTTGATTTGCAGTCAAGTGGGATGAAAGGGGCATTTATTAATGTAACTATGTTTGGCTAAAGTAGGAACAACAAAAACAGCTACTAAGGAACTCTTGCGCTGGTCTCAAGCACAGGTAAATGGTGAGGGTCGTCAGAAAGAGGGCATCGGGTGTGATTCAGGATTTTCAGTGTCATGAAGCTGGTCCAGTTTTTACCCGACTGTGGTTTAAACTTAAACTGCTCCAGAACGTCAGGAACAGCTCAACCAAAGGGTGTTAGTTGAGCTGTTCCTGACTTCCACTGCTGCACTGGATTCAGAAAACTGTCCGTTTTAAAAACTTGCTGCAATGAAAGGGTTAAAAACAGAAACGGTTAAAAGGATGTCTCCTGCAGACATTAATTCTGTTTCAGTAATGTTACATCTACTCTTCCTTTTATGATGTGCCGGCAGTATTTGTAAGTTTAATAGATTTTTGAGGATTTCCTTCATATTTGGCTGGACATCCTACCAGTTTCATGGTCATGGTTGGTTCTCTTCACCAGATTTTAATAGTCAAATAAAACTGTCAGAAATCCCAAGTTGACTTCTGGAGCTGATAACTATCTTTGGTCTTAGTACCACACAGGGCTGGGAGTTTTTTTTTTTTTTTTTAAAGATAAATTGCGATAATATAACGATATATATTGATTTTTCTTTCCGTAAAATAATAAGAAAAATATATTTCTGAGTCAAAGCTTTGTCACAATTGTCACACAGGCACATTTATTAACAAACGGCTGTAAATGTACGAATTAAATGTGTAAAAATATTAACTATTTACATTAAATAATCCTCAGCTGCAGCGCCGTCACGTCAGTAAGCGTGTGTGAACTGCAGCACGTGAGGGGCTGTGTTTGTATTTAGTGAAGGAGAAGAGGGGGCTGTGTTTGTATTTAGTGAAGGAGAAGAGGGGGCTGCGTGCAGTTGGCACAGATGGGAGAAAAAGAACTACACGGATTCTCAAGTACATTAATACTCGATGGTTGCGATGGAGCCATTTTAACTATCGTGAATCGAGAAACTCGCGATACATCGAGTATATTCGATACAGCGCCCAGTATCGTGGAGTACGATTCCTTGTTCGGGTTAGTTGAACCTGCACTGTAGTACAAAGCCCATGGGCTCTAAATCACGTGAAGTAGTTGGATGTATTTTCTGTTGATCTGTGTTTTTGTTTTCCGTCAGGAGTGTGGTTTCACTCGTGAGCAGAGCTCCAATGCTTTAATTATCCACGGGACCGTAAAAAAAGCGTTAGAGGTGCTGTCCAAATTACATCCTCAGCCAGGTGAGTCATTGCAGCATGGGGCTGGTGCGCTCTGGTGCATATTTTTACACAGACGCGTTTATTTGTTTTGTGTTTTAGGAGCTGTAATAACCGACGCGCTCCCACCGGCTCGAGCAACGTCCATCACCGGAGTGTCTCCGGTCCTTTCAGCCGGCACACTTCCTTCGCCTGTCGCCGCTCAGTCGCACAAAATCCCCGAAAAACAACTTGTGAAGGAACCGACGCAGAATATCTCCAGTATTAAGTCTAATTATACTCAGGCTACGAAGATCGACTACAACCCCCCACCATTGTGAGCATGAAGTCATCAGAAATGTTTGAGTGGAGGTTCAGGAGTTCATACGGAGAATGTTCTAGTCCAGGAGTATTCAGCTAAACTGCTCAGGGGCCGGACATCCAGCTGCTGTTGTCCTTAAGAAAGTTTGTTTTCTGGTTTAAAACACGTGTCAAACTCCAGGACCGAGTTGTTAACGTCTCATCTGGCCCTTAAGATGATGATAATTTTAATTAAGACTTCTCATGACAGTTGGACAACTTTTGAAGTCAAGATGAACCATCTTGAATTTTTCCATAATCTTTGATTTTGATGCAGTAAAAGTGACAAAAGAACGTCAAATGAGACCGACAAAACTCTTGTTGAGGAACCTGCAGCCAAGAAAAGATGTCTGGTATCTGCTGGGGGGTCGTATTGACTGAAGGTGGCTCTTGGTTTGAAATAAGTTTTTAATGTTGGCCCCCTTTTTGTATGAGTTTGACACCCCCTAAATTAAAAACTGAACCCATCGGTGGGCTGACCCGAGTTCACCCGTGGGCCTGATTTGGCCGCCAGTTAAAAAACCCTGTTCTAGTCTTTATAAGAAAATACTTGTTGCTTTAGTCCCACGTCTTTAACAAAGGTTTAATTTCCAGGAGATCTTTTTGTTGCAGAGAGCTGTTTCCAGTTTGGGTGGGAAACTTGACTTTCCCACTGACGGAGTCCACAATTACAAACCTGTTCAGCAAGTAAGACGTTCTTATACATCTTTTTGTTTTATATGAACAAATCCAGCCGTGTGCTGAGCTGCTTGAGTTTGAGTATTTCTCTGTTTCAGGGTAGGGGTGGTCTATAGCGTGAAGGTTTTAGCTTACAAACGTTGTGCCTTTGTCAACTTTACAAAACCGGAGCACTGTGACGAAGCCATCAGACGCTTTCACGTGAGTACGATCAGATCTTTTCTTTTCTCGTCCCAGTTTGCTCTTCTCTCTGTAGGTGGTTTGAATAAATGAAACTGGAAACCAAATCGAGCTTTCTTTAGATGTTTGTGAAGCCACCAGCTGTCACGGTGCCACGTGACGACTCTGTCAAATCCTGTTGAAGTTGTGGTCAGTCTGTGCAAAAGTCAAAATCAGTTTAAGCGGGTTTCTTAGTTAAGAAAGTCTCGTGTACAAAACGTGCTCCTCTGTACAGCCAGGGTTGATGTTCCAGTTCCATCCTGACGTCCACCTTGTTTGTTTTGAAGTCGCAATTATTGGACTCGTTCAATGGGAAAGTTCAGATTCTGCAGTTTGCTCAAATGCTGCAAATCCTTAAAAATCTTATGGTTTTGGTGGGTTTTTTTTAATAGTTCGGACAATTTATAGGTAATTTAATTGAATCTGAAACCATTTGTCAAATAATTGGTACATTTATTATTAGGATTTTTTTTCCTTTAAAGCAAAAGTTCAGTTTGTTTATTTATTCAAGTTGGGTTCTGTGGAAATGTTAAAGCAGTTGTTCCCAACCCAGGTCCTTGAGGAACACCATCCTGCACGTTTTATTTTTGTTGCTCCAACACACCTGATTTGGTGGTTTAATTACTTCCTCATGTTCTGCAGAAGCCTGTTAATCACCCATTCATGTAAATCTGGTGTGTTCCTCAAGGACCAGTGTTGGGAACCATTGAGTTAAAGTATTATCTTGTTCTAGATGGCTCTTTAAACAAACGGCTCGAAAAAATAGTTTTGACTTGAATCAAAGCGACGAGCTAAAAGCTAGTCCAAGTGGAATGAGACCAACATGGTTTGGCTTTAAAACTTTTCGTAACAATTGAGCTGTTGACAATATTTCATTTATATCACCAAACCAGATGACATGATTTAACTTTATTTAGTGGTTGATTGAGCGTACATATTTCTATTTAATTTATATTTTAATATTTTATATTTTTATTTTATTTTATATTTATTTATATTATATTATATTATATTTCTATTTAATTTATAAACTTTTACATGGTTATTCTGGCAGAAATATAACCCCGCAGGAAGTGCCCCAAGCAGCAAATGCTACAAGCTTCTGAATACCAAACATTATATGAAGGGATTTCCTAGCACTACAGCAGCCGGCAGGGAAAAGGGGTCAGTTTCAAAGGAAATTAAATGACTAGAATTTTTATTATATACTTTTTTCTGAAGGCAGACCTGTTAAAAACTTTGACGTAAGGAAGATTTTCTGTTTTAGTTGTCTAAACTTGTTCACTTTAGGCTGTTTTTATAGACTCATTTCCTCCCCAGCTCTGAAGCAGCTAAACAAAACGTGCTTAAATCTCATCCTTCCATGACGCACGTGCTCCTTTTTCAGGGCTCCATGCTGAACGGCGTGAGGATGGCTGTGAAATACCCGGACAGGATCCCTGCAGGCATGGGCATGTCCAGGTCTGCCCTCAGATCTCAAGACCTGCAGGAGCACGATCTGAGGCCAGTGTTTCTAAACTTTGAACCATTTGCTTTGTTTATGTCGACATTGTAAACTCCAGCTAGCGTAGATGTCACTCAGACTCGCTGACCTTCAGATGACCTCGAGACGTTTTAACCTGCCTGCGCGAGCTGAAACTTGAGCCATCACAAACTGAATTTAATGGTTCGAACAAAGAAGATAAATAACTTTCTTTTTGACGTATTTGCTGAAATCTGTCGTGCTAAAAATCGATTGGCGCCGCGGGAGCGCGCACGAGAGGACTCGCCGTTTCAGTTCTTGGAAATTTAACAAGATTAACACCTAAAAACGATGATTTGTTTGCTCTAGATTATAGCAAAGGTGTGTCTGTTTACCTTTTCTTTAATAAATTCACTTTAATGGTCTAAAAAGCTTCATTTCACCTGCCAAACATCGATTGTGGCTCGTAATTTAACAAACATGCAAAATGAAGCTGTTTTGACCATTAAAGTGAATTTATTTAAGAAAAGGTAAACAGAGACACACCTTTACTATAATCTAGAGCTATCAAATCGTTTTTAGGTGTTAATCTTCTTAAATTTCGAAGAACTAAAACGGCTAGTCCTCTCATGCACACTCCCGCAGCACCAATCGATTTTTGGCACAACAGATTTCAGCAAATACAGTAGTCCCTCGTTTATCACGTGGGATCCGTACCCTGAAGCCCCGCGATGAGTGAACAACCGTGAAGTAGGAATAGTAGTAAGTAGACCTGTCGCGATGAACAATAAATCAATTAATCACATGATAAGTGAAAATTATCAACCTCATTTTCATTTATCGGCTTTATCGTTTCTTCGTGGCTCTCGTTCTACTGAAGACACTGGATGATAAAAAGCTCAACTCCGGCTCGTCACTGACTCCTCCCTTTCTCTCTTTTCTTTAAAATCTGTTTTAACCGTCCAAAATCGTGTTTTTGGATCATTAAAAGCAGCTAAGCTGAGAAGCTAGGCTACGAGCTAAGCTAATAGGCCGACTTCGGGGGGGAAAAACCTCTGTCTTGTCGAAGCTCTAAAATTCACGTTTGAAACCCGTGCCTTCGTGGAAAAAGTTAATCTCTGCAAAAAGAAGCTGAGAACTTGTTTACTGATTTTTTTAATTAATTTTTAATTAAAAGCTTTGTGTGAAAAATGCTATGCTGAAGAGCTCACACCGAGCGTCCGCCATTTTGAGAACCAAAAAAAGGAAGGAGAAACAGCCCATGTCACGTCAAGAGGCCTCCCTCCCATTTTCTTAGAGACACGCTGCTCGCTCCCTCACTATCCATCCTTCAGTTCAAACAGTCTTATACTGCCATCCAGTGGTCAAAAAAGGTACTACACTCAAAACAAATTGACAAACATTTCTTCTTAAATTGACAATAATTACTATCGTTAAATTTCAAACAATATTATCGTTTATCGCAATAGTTTCTGAGACAATCGCCCAGCAAAATTTATCGTGACAGGCCTAGTAGTAAGTAGTAGTTTATTTTAGTATATATAAAAATTTATATATTAAGGTGTTTTAAACCCTTCCCACACTCTTGCAATATTTTATAAACAATGTTTCTAAACTCAACGCTCTTAAAAACACAGAATGTCATGAAATCAGCGCTCTTGGCCACGCCCACTTCTCCACTGCAGAGCAGAGACGTGACGCGCTGCTGGAGGAAGCTTCTCCCTGCACCTGTGGGCTGCACACAGGTGCTAAATAATTAAAAATAATTCATGTTAAATAAAAATTCCATCCCGATCGTGCGGCTCATCCATCAATCAGCCAGTTGTGCGTCATGTCCAGTCTTATTTTGAGAAACCGCCATGGAGCGAGTCCGCGATGCGCGAAGTAGCGAGGGACTACAGTACTACAAAGAAGTTTCACTGACGTCCATCTGCGTTCTGTTGCTCTGTCCGGACTCGGAAGTGTGACACAAAAATCTGAATTTTGAAATGGAAACTGAATTTTCAAAGCAAACCAGTTCAGTTTCAAAACATGGATTCACGTCCAGTTTGTGATGGAACAAGTTTCGGTCCATGTGAGAGAGTAATTTATCTTACCGTAGTTTTCCTGCCTGCAGGTCAAACGCTAACTGGAGGAGAGCAGTTGAGGACCCATCGTCAGACTAACAGACTGTTCCAGCTGCTTCGCTCCGTTCGTCAGAATCAGTTGGGCCATTTCTACAGAGCGCCAGGCGCTGCTTCATCATCGTCGTATCAATCACTGGATGTGACTCCATGTACGAGCATCGTTTGGCTTTTACTTTTGAGCAGGAGGCGAGTGACCAGTTATTATTTTAACACATACAAGAAAGAAAACTTTTTGTCCGTTACTACAAGTGATGGAAATATACAGTTATTCTACTATAGTATTCAAACTGAGTGCGCAGTATTATATCGGCTATAACATGATTCAACTAAGAGTTTTTATGGCTTCAAATAATCAGGGACGTCACTGGTCCAAGTTATGGATCCTTTGTTTTTATTTTTCACTCATGTAACCAACACACATGACCTGCTCATGTAACGTAGTGTTGATTTAAAACACTTTACGGTCTATACTTTTTAAACTTGTCTAAGGTTTTAATCTGGTTTCAGTTTTCTACGTTGAACTTGTTTTCTTTCCGTTTTACTATTTAGAGCTTCAAAATGTCAGCCGATGCCACCGCAGCCTTCATTAAAATGTTTCTTGTTTTTAATCTGAGAAATAAAGCTTAAAATTACAAAATGCATGTGTTGTTGTTTTTACAGTAGTACTGCTTTACGGTAGTTAAAAAAAATGTATGTATCCCATGAAATCCTAGTGAATAAACGTGAACTCTTAACAAAAACTGCAGCAAAGAGCGATTTCTGCTTGATCGAATATATAAAGAACGTCTGATTCAGTTTGTTTTTAAACATTTAACAGATTAGAAAGAATTAGGATTACAGTAGTCCCTCGCTACTTTGCGGTTGGACTTTTGCAGACTCGCTCTTTCGCGGTTTTTCAAAGTCAGATTGGACACGACACACAATTGGCTGATTGATGGATGAGCTAAATGGCAGTTAAACTCGTCCACTATCGGTATGAAGCGCTTTGCTTTGATACCGTTTCATAAATTCTATAACGTTTTTAATGCAAAGCCAACAGTTGAACAAAGTTTATTCAAATATAAGCAGAGAAATTTGGAAATGTTCAATACACTTAAAAAGCTAAATAAATAGACAATTACATATGTACTAACCAGTGTACTTTGGTTTCTGAGCACAGTACACCCACTACAAAAATGTAGACCACTGGTCTGAAATCCAGATTCAGTTCTTTAAACAGCCAGCAGGTGGCAGCACTGAACCGAGGACCTTCTGGTTTTTACAAAGCAGAGCTCATTTTGGACACTTCCGATTGGTCATTATAAAAATCACATAGATGATTTACGGTGAACAATTATTTTAATATATTTATGAACGTGTTTGGTGTTTATGTCCTGTGCTGTCACAGAGAGGAATTTATTAATGAGTAATTGTCAAAATGACTCATAGTTTGTTGAAATTTGCTGATTTATCTCCTGGAAACATTTTGATTTTGAGTGCTGGTTGGTAAACTCAACTTCTACTGGTCTGGAGAGATGTCGGTGGAAACTCCAGCCCTGCGTTTAAAAAGGAGGAATCTCCAAGCATCACAATGATGTCAAACATTATACGAAGGGATTTCCTGCTGCAGCGGGCAGAGAACAAAAAGTCAATTTCCAAAGAAATTACAAGGATTAGAACAAAAATTTTTTTTTTGAAAATACACACGTTAGAAACTTTAATTTTAAGGTAGATTGGGAAGATTCTATATTTTCTTGTTAAACTAACAAATCTCAATTACGAGACAAAACTTTAACGTATTTCTCCAGCAGAGGTCACATTTACAGTTTTCACTTTATTAACAGCAACTTTGCTGTCGGAGCTTTTTAATTCTTGTTGATTTGACGTTTACGTGTCAGCAAAGTGAGGCAAGAGCGCTAAAAGAATGACAACGCTCTCCTCGGGTCACTTCTACTCAAGACAGCTGGTCCCTGAAGGAAAACGCCCAAACATCTGGCAGGACTTGAACATCTGTAAGAAGAAAACAATTCAACAGGTGGCGTAGAAAGAGTATCCGATACATTTTAAGACACTTGCTTTCAGTTTAGAAAATTAAATCCGAGGCCTGTTGATGGTATCGATCCACTTTACCTACGACTTGACCCGTCTGGCTTCTGCAGTCACATTACTGTACTGGAACCAGTTTCATGTTTTCAGTGAAGCAGCTCTTCTACTGGTCCCGTCTAACACAGGACAACGGAGCAGTTCAAATGTCTGCACTGATCACGGCTGCTTCACAGACGGCACCAGTTACTTTTTTATTTTCTAGTCCTATATGTTGATAAAACATAAGGGGAGTGGTGGCGCAGAGGTTAGAGGAGGTGATCGGAAGGTCGCCGGTTCAACTCCTCAGACAGATCATGTCAAAATGTGGGTGGAAAAGGCGAAACCGACACCAGCCTCCACCCTCGTTTGTCTCACTCTGGGCCCTTGAGCAAGGCCCTTAACCCCCCCACCATCTGCTCCACACAGAGGGCTGTGGTAGCTCGGTGGTCTGTGGTTGCATCAAGTCTTCATGCGAGTTAGTTCGTTGTGGCGACGCCTGAAGAAGGGAGCAGCCGAAAGAAGAAGGGGAAAAAAAGCTGATAAAACTAGGGATGCTCCCATCAGGTTTTTTTGTGCTGCCGATCACATGGGTTGGCTTTAAATTTATTTGATTTAAAATGAGTGCTACGTGATCTGGAAAACCATACAATCACCTTAATTTGGAGAAAACGTGTTTATTTACTTTCTCAAGACAAAAAATATATATAAAAAAAAAACGTGCAGGCACTACACAGCAAATATTCAGTCAAAAGGACAACTGAAAAACACTTATCTTGTCTAAACACACTCTTTAATAAACTGAAAACATTAAGGCTCTCAGCAGAAAGTCAAATAAATCTCAAAACATTACTTATCTACACCACCTGACCTCTGCAGGCTGCAAAGGTGATCGGGTTTTGTGATCTGCACTGAAAGGCATTGATCGGTATCGGCAGATCACATATTTTTTTAACAGAAATCGGCTGATCATGATCGGTGGCTGATCGATCGGAACATCTCTAGATATAAATGTATATTTAGGTTTGTCAGTGGTTCAATTAAATCCATGCTCGATTCGTAAAGCCTGCTTAAAATCATAGTCTTAATCGACCACTTCTCCATCAATTTTAGACTTTTTACATTTTTTTATTTTGACCACAAAACCAGAAGATGATGTAAGTGGGAGGTTTATTTAATTTGGTCATAAAGTAGTTTAAGTGTACTACAAGTATACTTATTTTACACTAAAAATGAGGAACTGTACTTGGAAGTTTACTTTTTATAAGCTTTATTTGATATACTTAAAAATAGTATAACAATGTCCCAATTTAGTCCAAACAAGTATTAAATCAGTATACTTTCTAGTACACTACAAGTATGGTGTGTGTAGTATACTTATACTTAACTTAAAGTATACTTGCAAAAATGAACTTCAAATGTACTACTTTTTGTTAGGATTGTGTATATGTCCACAGATAATCTAAGGGAAGCAAACAAGGTCAAAAAGAAGAAAAAAAAAAGCGCCATTTTTTAATTCTAGGACGGGAGGTGTCCAGTCCTTGCCCTTGAGAGCCACTACCCTGCATGTTCTAAAGGTTCCTCTGTTCCACCACACCTGGTTTGAACACACAGGTGAGTAACGGGCTCCTGCAGAGCATGAAGCAGCGATTCAACCACTGAATCAGGTGTGTTGAAGCAGAGAAACGAGTGGAACATGCAGGTTAGAGGCCCTCGAGGAGCAGGTATACACCCCTGATCTAGGCTTGTATGCGTCGGGTTACAATAAAACTGATCTGGTCTTTATCAGGTTCTAAATTTTGTTAAAGACTAACAAGAACGCAGATTTACCAAGTTTTTAGTTATTAAACCAAAGCGGGGCTAAAATGAAAAACCCCGCCCACCCTGCTGCTTCTGTTGGCTGTAAGAGGCCAGGTGCTGCTGATTAAATACATGAACTGCTCATCACCAGTGGGAGCACCTTTACGACAGCAGGACAGGTGCACGACAATGCCAAGGCGGAAAGACATCAGTGTTTCCAACACATTCACCCTACAATCAAAAAGCTGGATCTCAGACCGTGAAGAGGACTCGCTCATCCTCCAAGTGACGCTTCTTCATCTTTAAATGTTCACACGGGAGTCCAACGTCTGTTAGCAAAATATCTCATGAGCCACTGAAGGGATTTTAATGAAACTTCCTGGTTGTATTTTCTATAACTGATGGACGTTCGGAGTGGATTGACTTGAAGATGGTCGTCTGGCACTTTTACAGATATTGATCTAAAATTTGAGGTGGTAGTAGCTGAGAGTGGTTCCCAACACGCACCGAGCGTAAACAAGTTCAAGCTTTGACTAAACACATCTGGCATGAAAGATGGAGGACAGTAAGTATTCCTGACTTTGATCTTTACGTTTTAAATATATCTGCTTACTTTACCACACACTGGAGATTTGTAGTGTTGAACAGTTGCTTTGAACTGATTTGCTTTTCACAAGAAATGAAGCACTGGTTCAATGCGCTGTTCAGACAACAACTAATTTAATCAGCATCTGTATATGTGGCTCCGAAAACACTAACCAAGTTTGTTTTTATGTTAGAAACAAGGTAGACATCTTTAAAACTAACATACGTTAGTCCCTCACTACTTTGTGGTTCGATTTTTGCAGTTTTTGTACACGACACATGATGGTCAACTTTAATGTTACTCACGTGATGGGGATGGTACAGGACAAAATGTTAACAAAAAAAATACTTCAGACAGGTGCCGCCATTTTGTAGTTTTTCTTTCAATAAGTCTATACTCTAATGCCAGTCAAAAATAACTACAATACCCAGAAGCCAACAGTGCTTCCGGGCACTGCTTTCTGCTGAAATGGAGGGAAAGTTTTCCAACGCAAAGTCAGAAGTAACGATCGATCTACTGAGCTCACAGAACTGGCAGGAAAGTCACAAATAAACCTGAAGCTCAATTCTCCACGTGCACATCAACCTGGATGGGGTGGTGGTCTTTGTCGCTGCAGGGGAGGTCTGCAGAACCAGAACCAAGCCCAACCAGAACTGAGCTGCTGGTCTGCAGAGCTGGTGAGTACCCATATAAAATTTTGCAGTACTGCACAGTAGAGCTGTGATTTTTGGGCCGAGGCCTCGGGTCAGGTCGGGCTTTGATGCGTTTTTAGAAGTGACAGCGTTTTGTTTTTCTTGGGTGTGCACCTGCCGAGGAGGATCTGGTGTGAGGTCGTTGCCCTGGATTACCTGCGGATTATTTTTCAAGATCTGGTGAGATCGTTTTTTTGATTTTGGCACACCGACGCTTAGATCGAGTGGATGTTTCCCTCATCTTCCTTCAAACGAACTTTCCTTCAAAGAGGATAGTTGGACTGAAAGTTTGATCAACTTGTTTTTTTACTTACGGGGTTTATGGGATTTCATGTTGTGGAATGAAGTGTTTAATATCTGATGGCTCGATTAATTTGTGTTAACTGACTTAAATGTTATCCTTCGTGGCCGATCTATTATTAGTTTATTTATGAGAGCTTCCTGTGCGGGTAAATTATTTTCTGTTTACTGCACTTGGTTATTTCTACACCTCAACCAATCTTAAGTTTTGTTGCACTGTCAGCTCCAGGCACTGCCCGTGACTTAGCTTTTTATGTAATTAGTCCCCTTTTATCTTAATTTTGGGGGCGAGATGTTACAGATGGACAACCGGATCATCAGCCGCGTGCATCCACCAACCATTAATAACTATAATTATAATAATCCACTGACTCTTGTTAATAAACAAGAAATCTTATATCTTCTATTCTTTGAAATACATTTTTAAATCATGTCAAAGTGATTTCCTTACAAAAGCAGTAAAAGCTTAATTAAAAAAATACTTTTTTTTTTTTTTTTTTTTAAGGTCGGGCCTCTAATCACAGTCGGTTTCGGGTCGGGCTCAGAAAAAAATGATATTGGTTCGGGCCGGGTCGGATTTTTTAGGCATGAATGCAACTCTACTGCACAGTACATATACATATGTTGTTAAAATGACGTAGGTTTAAGAGTTTAGAACATTGCAAGAGTGTGGGAAAGGTTTATAAAGCCTTAATATATATATATATAAATCGTAAAATAAATAGTGTTCCTACTTTAGCTTTTCACCTATCGTGGTGGTGTGTGGAACGTAACCCCCGTAATAATCGAGGGACTACTGTACAGTGGAGTAAAGTGTGTCTGAGAGTGAAGCTTCCCTTTACGGTAAACTGAAGCTGTTTCTTACCAAACGAGCTCATTTGAGCCCGCGGCAGTCAGTTAGTGATGGAGGGTGAGGATGAGGAGTCAAAGGGAGGTCTCTCTCTCTCCAGCAGGTCTGACCAATCACAGCTGCTTGTCTCGCTCGCAGCAGGAGGTCTGAGACCTCTCATATCGGAGTCCAGACAGAAACTGTGCCTCCGGGCCGGGCTCACACACCCAGGACTTTAACATGAAAGAGTTCCCAGCAGGCAATTAAACGTAAACATAGCTGGAATTATTTTTTTATGTATTAAAACTAAATACAAAATGTGTTTATTAAACTGAATAGGTAAAAAATAGAAAAAAAGAATGTAAAATTAAATGTGTTTTAAGGCCAGCCAGGAGCTTTGGATGAGCTTGTCTGCATTTAAAGTTTAAATACAGTAGTCCTTCACTACTTTGCAGTTCGACTTTTGCGGACGCGCTCTTTTGTGGTTTTTCCAAGTAAGACTGTTTATGACACACGATTGTCAACTTTAATATTACTCATGTGATTGGGACAATACGGGATAAAAAGTTAGCAAAAAAAAAAAAAAACATAAGACAGGCGCCGCCATTTTGTAGTTTTTTCTCAATAAACCTACACTGTATCGCCACTTAAAAGAACTACATTACCAAGAAGCCAAAGTTGCTTTCTGCTGAAATGGAGGGCAAGTTTTGATATGATGTGAAAAAGTTCAGTCCTTACTCATAGTGACTTCAGCGCTGAGTGGATGCAGAGAGCCGCACGGAACCAACCAGGAACTGGACCAGAACCAGACTTACATCCTCATGGGTTAATCTGATGGCTGCTTGCTGGCCCATGAGGCCTCTCGAGTGGGGAGGTGTTGCTTGAAGGTCCGGTGTTTTCTCCTGAGCTCATCAGGACTATTTTCATCTGGATTTGGACTCGACTGGGACCCCTGTGTGGTTTTGTGCTGGTTATCCAAAGGTCCGCCTCGCTCTAAAAGCATCTTGGTGCTCAACGGTTGCAAACAACCGATCAGAACTGGACCAGAACTGGACCAGAACTGGACCAAGGCTGGTGTGTAACCATATAAAAATGTGCAGTACTGTACAGTACATATACAGTATGTATGTTAAAACAATGTAGATTTAAGAGATTAGAACATTGCAAGAGTGTGGGAAGGGTTTATAAAGCCTTAAAATATATATGAAGTGTTCCTACTTTGCTGTTTTTCACTTATGGCGGGGGGTGGGGGGTCCAGAACGTAACCCCTGTGATAAACGAGGGACTGCTGTATTCAGAACAGGAGCTGAACTTACTTTGACCCGAGTCAGTTTTTGTGTACATTAGTTACCTTGAGCTGCAAAGCATTGGCCACTTCAAACCAGCACTTTCCATAAGATGTCGGGTCTTTTCACACGAACTTCAAGGAAAACGTGCGACTGGACATGTTTAATATTGCTGACACATCAGATTTGAAACAAAGAAGCCTTTGTTTTGTGCTTGCTTTTTATACGGTTACAGCGAAAACACGTTTTCAAGCTGAAGGCACATCGACTTTTTCTTTTCTTATTGTTGTAAAACGGCTGCGTCAGCTGTTTGGAGTCAACCTAAAAGTAGAAAAATAAAAAGTTGTGTCCTCTGATTTTTGAAGGTGGTGGAAGTTGTCCTGTAGATATTCCTGATGTCAGGGAACGATTTCATCTTCAGACGGTCGAGCCGTGGCCTCCATTAATCCGCTTCTGTGTCGGAGTCGGAGCGCCGTCGGTGCGTTCGCATTTGGCTCCTATCTCAGATGGCAGACCCGATATATTCCAGGTGTCCTTGCTCTGCGCCCACGTCAGCTCCACAGGCAGATGTTGCTCATGGCCTGGCAGGAGGAGACGCTCTCGGCAGGAGAGAGGTAGATCTTGCCACTGGGGCAGACGCACACCTCGTACGCGGCCTGGTCCTGGAGGGCCTGACTGGTCGACGGGGCGTAGATGCCAAGAGGGAGGCTTCCGATCTGAACGCTGTTTGCATCCAGAAGGATCTGAAGGGGGAAATAAAAACATCAGGGAGATGCTGGAAGTGGTCCAAACAGATCAGAGGTGCCCTGAAGTGATGCACAGTATTCCCTCGCTACTTTGTGCTTCGACTTTCACGGACTTGTTCTTTCATGGTTTTTCAAAGATTTTACACGACACACCAGTGTCAACTTTAATATTACTCACGTGACTGGGACGGTACGGGATACAATAACGTTAACAAAAAATAAAATACCTCGGACAGGTGCCGCCATTTTATAGTTTTCTCCCAATAAGCCAATACTGTATCGCCACAAAAAAACAAAACAAAAAAAAAACCTACATTTCCCAGAAGCCAACAGTGGAAGCCCTGTTGCCTTCTAAGAAATGGAGGAAAAGTTTTGATCCGATATGGAAAAAGTTCCATTTATATTCGTACGGTGACTTTGGCGCCTAGCGGATGCAAAGAGCTGTATGGAGCTGACCGGGAACCGGACCTCCAGACTCATCGGTGAATCTGAGTGCCACCTGCCGGTCCACGAGGACTTTCAAGCGGGGAGGCACCGCTGGAGGTCCGGCGTTCTCTCTGGAGCCCAGCGGGACTTCCTCCATCCAGATTTGGACTCAATCGGACCACCGTCTGGTCCCGTGCTGGTCATCCGAAAGTCTGGCTCCCTCCAAAATGTGTTTTGATGCTCAAGGGCTGCACAGAACTGACCAGAACCGGAGAAGAACCAGACCTCCAGACTCATCGGTGAATCTGAGTGCCGCTCGCCGGCCCACGAGGACTTTCAAGTGGGGATGTGCTGCCAGAGGCTTGGCGTTCTCTCCAGAGCCCACTGGGACCACCCCAAGCCAGAGAGTCGACCAGAAGTGGCAGGGTAGGTCTGCGGAAATGGAACCGAGCTGGACCAGAGCTGAGATGTTGCTCTGTAGAGCTGGTGAGTAAAATTTAGTAACGTAACCCTTGAGATAATCGAGGGACTACTGTACCAACTGGACCTGATAGATGACAGAGACATCCTCGTGAAGGTGTGACAGACAGGTGGAGTACAGCAGCTCTGCTCTTGACCGAAACATCCCAGCTGCTGAAATCCTTTAACTCCCCTGTAGACACTGACGTTACGATGCGTATCACGAGCAGGAAGCGCCGCACACATCTATAAGAGTCCTGACCCTCGAGGGCCACCGTCCTGCATGTTTTAGGTGCTCCTCAGCTCCAACATGCCTGGTTTGAATCAATGTGTGATTAACAGGCTTCTGCAGAACGCTAAGACGCGAGTCTACCACTGAATCAGACCCAATTCAATGACGAAGATTTCCATGTTAAGCCCAAACCATCAGCTCACCACCACTGTGCGTTTTAGTATTTATGCTGTCACGCTGTTTGGTCGGCGCCACAGATTTTGCTCAGCATTCTGGTCCTGAAGTGTATTTGGATGCTACGTTGTAAATCTGAAAGCCTTTTCACGAAACAAACTTACGATGCGACCGCAAAAACAAGCCGCTCTTAGATTCTACCTGTGTCTGTGTGGCGTTAGTTACCAAAACAAAAACGACCTCAAAGTAATAACTCTTTGTTCTTCTACAGATGGATAACTGTTGGAGTGGATCCAACTGAAGATGTCTGCCACAGCCGACAATAAAAAGACAAAAATCATTATAATTCAGTCATTTTACAGACGTTTAGCTAACATTTGGTGTGGCTAAACACCCAGAGAATTTCAAAGTTCATGTTCAATGATCCAGGTAAGAAATCCAACTGTCAGGTCATCTGGATGTTTTTTTTTTATTCTTTTGTTGAGACGTTTCGTCCTTCATCCAAAGGACTTCATCAGTCCGAGGAGCCACAACAAACTCAGTCCCACAAGCAGCAC